ATATTTAATGATATTTTAAGGGAAAGATTCATATAAGCTGCAGATCACTTGATAACTCCCTTTAAAAGACTTGTGTTCAAAATATGAATAATTAAGTAATGGTTCCTCTCTTGTACCGATAAATAACTGTATTTTTTTCATCTATTTAAATTCAATGCTTTATCAATGTAAATTTTTGCCTGTTTACATGGAGAGTTTAATTCGAAGTAATTAATGCGAAGTAATCTAATGCAAATCAAAGCAGTGTGAATAAATGCCTTGTTCAAACAACGAATTTGATTCGTGGTACATGTAGATTAATGCAAAATGAACTAATTCGAATAAAACTAATTCGAATTAGATTGCGTTCGAACGGCAGCTAATGTCAATTAAAATTCTACATCTTCAGTTAGGCGTCAGGAAGGCTATTCTGACGTCATTCGCAAATCCCATCAATCTATTTCGAAGCAGATGCATTTGTCATAATGTAAGTGACTGGCACAATTTTTCTTTGTTTTTCACTCAAAAACAGCACATGTATTTATAACTGACCACCGGCATGTGACATTAAGCCTAATATTGCCATTAGACATGCCTCAAAATTTAATTCGAATTAGCATCGCTTAGGGTTCACATGGTGTTAATTCGCAGTAACTTACGTTTAATTTGAATTAAACTCTCCGTGTGAACAGGGCATAATTTGCGTTCACACGATAGCTCAGTCTGCAGTAATGCTTCATTTATGCGAGTATGACGTAATTTACAAATCACTTCAACTTATGCAGAAGCAGATGCATTTGACATAATGATGAAGTTTCTCTAAACATATTTTAGTGATTAACACAACTTTTCTTAATTTTTTACCCAAAATAGCACAAGTACCTGTAGCTGACCATCGACATATGACATCTGACTTAAATTTGCCATTACGCATGCATCAAAATTTTATTCAAATTAGCTTAGCTTTCATACGGAGCCAATACGTGGTAATTTGATTCGCAGTTAATTAATTCGAATTAAACTCTCTCGGTTTAAACTCCACGTGTGAACGTGCACCAAATTTAATTCGCATTTTCTAATCTTTAATATTCGAATTAAACTCTATGTGTGAAAAGGGAACAAGTCTTATTTATCAAGAGGAAGAATAATATATTTCAATAAAATTCGTCATTAAGAATCAATAGACTGTATTATCAATTTTAGTCATCATGTATTTCTAAATTTTGAATTGTTGATATTGCATAAATTTTGGAGAAACTACTTTGTATATTTAAATCGAAATTAAATGTACATGTATAACAAACCAGCCTCAACTAACCCCATAGTGACCCCCTAAAACGGCTAAGTGTTAAAAATGAAAATAAAAATATCAAAGTTGTTAAACTTTAAAAACTGTGATCAACTGCAGTTGTTTTTCTTTTTAAATTTTGCTTAAATATAGTACAAACTGCAATTGAATATAATAAGAACTTTGGAACTTTGATTTACTTTGGTGAACAATTTGGAATTTTGATTTACTGTATTGAAAATGTTGGGACTTTGATTCACAAACTATAGCGAAAACTTTGGAACTTTAGTTAACTATAATAAACTATAGTTAACTATAGTTAACTAATGTTTACATCTAGTCTTTTCTGTAAGGGATGAATTTAGAAATATTTAAAACGTTTTTTTTAGTTTTTACGAAGAGTACACAAGGGGTCCATTTTTTTCCAGAATTGAAGCATGGGAAATAATTAAAGATTTAACAAGATTTAGAATTTGAACGTTGTACCTAGTTTGATTCAATACTTTAATGAATGTTGTCGACAATACATTTTTACATGTAAATTTTAAAGGCAACATATAAAGAGATGAGTGCATTGGGTGATTCATTTTTTAATAACATACAAAGCTAAATTCAATCATTAAATGTTTCCATTTGAGGTAAAAATTTAATATGTTCCATAATTCAGTAACATTTTAACATTAAACAAAAGGCCCATGGGCCATATCGCTCACCTAAGAAGCTTTGGCCATTCTGTTCTTAACCAGATTTCCCCCTTGTAATACATATTGCGACCCCACCCTTCCCACTTATCATAATTTAAACAATTTGAAATCTACACTACCCCATTATGCTTCCAAATAACTTTCAGCTTTGATTTTAAGATTTTTTCTATATATTTCTATGTAAAACATTGATTCCCCATTGTGGCCCCGCTCAACCCTCAGGGGTCATGATTTGAACAATTTAGAATCTACACTACCCCAGGATGCTTCCAAATAAGTTTCAGCTTCTCTGGCTCAGTGGTTCTTGAGAAGAAGATTTTCAAAGATGTTTCCTATATATTTCTATGTAAAACATTGATTCCCCATTGTGGCCCCGCCCTACCCCCAGGTGTCATGATTTGAACAATTTAGAATCTACACTACCCCAGGATGCTTCCAAATAAGTTTCAGCTTCTCTGGCTCAGTAGTTCTTGAGAAGAAGATTTTCAAAGATTTTTCCTATATATTTCAATGTAAAACATTGATTCCCCATTGTGGCCCCACCCTACCCCCAGGGGGTCATGGTTTGAACAATTTAGAATCTACACTACCCTAGAATGCTTCCACTTAAGTTTCAGCTTTTCTGACCCAGTGGTTCTTGAGAAGAAGATTTTCAAAGATTTATTCATATATATTTCTATGTAAAACACTGATTCCCAATTGTGGCCCCGTCCTACCCCCGCAGGTCATGATTTGAACAATTTAGAATCTACACTACCTCAGGATGCTTCCACATAAGTTTCAGCTTTTCTGGCCCAGTGGTTCTTGAGAAGAAGATTTTCAAAGATTTTTCCTATATATTTCTATGTAAAACATTGATTCTCCATTGTGGTCCCGCCCTACCCCCGGGGGTCATGATTTGAACAATTTAGAATCTACAATACCCCAGGATGCTTCCACATAGGTTTCAGCTTTTCTGGCCCAGTGGTTCTTGATAAGAAAATTTTCAAAGATTTTTCCTATATACTTCTGTTTAAAACACTGATTCCCTATTGTGGCCCAGCCCTACCCCCGCGGGTCATGATTTGAACAATTTAGAATCTACACTACCCCAGGATGCTTCCACATAAGTTTCAGCTTTACTGGCCCAGTGGTTCTTGAAAAGAAGATTTTTTAATGACCCAACTCTATTTTTGTCTTTTCTTAATTATCTTTCCTTGCGAGATTCATTTTAACAATTTAAATTCCCCTTCACCCAAGGATGCCTTGTACCAAGTTTGGTCAAAATTGGCGCAGTGGTTCTTGAGAAGAAGTCGAGAATGTGAAAAGTTTACAGACGGACGGACAGACGGACGGACGGACAGACGGACGACGGACAAAATGTGATCAGAAAAGCTCACTCGAGCCTTCGGCTCAGGTGAGCTAAAAATAGACGTATTATAGAGTTTAAGGTTGAATTTTGTAATTTACCTATCGGGTTTATAACGTTATTCTCATTGCTATGTATCTTTACATTCTTTTGGTTCAACAGTAAACTCTGTGTTTAAAACTATTTGTAACACGGTTTTCATTTTATAAAATAGATATGCATTGTAGCAACGTCTAATGATAAAACGCCGCTTAATGATACAAATAGCATTAAGCGTTGCAATTGCAACGCCTAATGCCATAAATTATTGCATTAATAGCTGACATTCTCAACTGCTAATGCTAAATCGCCGCTAAATGATAGAATTATATCATTAAGCGTCACAAATGCAGTGCAACACTGACGCTTAATGAAAGAAGGAAATATCGACATATTCGACGCTTAATGATACACACCATTGTATCATTAAGCGTTGCAGCTGCAACCTTTAATGATATAAATTTTATAAATGTTGTGCAATATCTAAGAGAAACACACATCCACATTTCCTGAACAATGAGATTTCACTTCACAAACCATTTGTATATGCCTTTATGCTCTATAAAATGGTAATTATTGGAGCTTTACAATGTTTTCTACATAGTGAGGGGAACTTTTTAAGCTCCGGAAGTTTAAAAGACAGACAGTCAGATAGTTTGGAGAGATAGATACAAAGAGATAAATATAAAGATATCCAAATCCTTTTCACGGAACCCATTTGATTTCTTTCTGAAAAATATAGATACAAGCAAATTCCTTTTAATTTGATACAACGATTTAAATAGTCAACCTAAAAAAATATTTAATGTTTTTGAATATTTTTTATCGAGACAGGGTATTTTAGAATTGATACGGCTTTGCACATGTTACTGTTAATGTCTCAGATAGACATATTTACATATAAATTAATTATTTTCACTATTGTATTTTTAATCTGCTACATTTCTTCAAATTTCGAAAAAGAGAGACATCAATATTGACAACTCATGTTTAAGAATATAATATAAAAAATAAAATGTAAAACATTGAATAACATTTATAGTTTTGAGAAAAGGGATCATTCATCTTTTATTCGTGATCAGTGTTACTTGAATACATTACACCGTTGCATGATTATTTTAGTATATAAATATATGAGTAAGAATATGGGTTTTTTTTGTTATGTTATCAAATTTCATAAAGCCTGAGCCGAGGAGCTTCTTGTTGAAATATAATTATGTTCCAATCGTATTTTTTTTCCTTTTGATGTTTAAAAAAAATATATGTGCCTTATTACTGGTCGGATACAGAGTTTTGGACAAAAATGTAACCCCAATAGACGATTTAAACCTGAGTACAAACGGTACTTACAGGAATACTTGTGACTGATTTTCAACAAATATTTGCAAAGTATAGTTTTTAGCCAATGAAACGATTATTGATTTTTGGTTTATTTAGGAATTTCTTGATCTTGTTGTTGAACTACTTATGACATCATGTGAATCACGTTGATCATTTATAATTTAACGCCAGAACCCTGTTTTTATATAGGGTTTAAAATAACAATGATATAATGTTGTGCAAGAGAATTTCTTTGCGAAACAATGCAAATGCATGTATTAAGGTGTTTCCACCCTCACAATAGGGTCCGCCAACGGCTTATCTCCCCCTTGCGCCGCTAGAGGCGCTGGTGTACTATGAGGTATTCTAAATAAACATGGCGTACGCTTCGTACACAGTGCCGAAACTGAAAAAAAGAATTAATATTACGCGGCGCTGTAACTACGGGAAGGAAAACCGATCTCATAGAAAGGTAAGAAAACATTTATTTTATTACATGCAAACATTATTCATTGAAGTAATCCTTATATAAATTGTATTATAACGGTATTCAGAGTCATGTGGTGCTACGTAGTGAAATGACAACAATGTTGAACATGCCTTCAAAACATATTACATAGGCCTGTATTTCACGCAGGTTGGAAGCATACGAACGGAATTTCAATTTTAGCGGTCCCGTCATTAAACTGCCAGCAGAAAGGGATGTAGAATGGCCAGCTACTGGGTATAAACAAATGACATCGGGCCATTATGACCTTTTGCCACACATAACAGAAGCCCATATCGAAGGTAATATTACTATGAATTTGGATATCAAGGGAAACTCGGTTAGGCAGTTAAGTTTGTATTTGAAATGTGTAACTGTTGTATGTCACATATGAAATGTACCAGTCATGAAAATTTAATTTATATCAGAAATAAATATGTCAGCATGCAGGAGTAAAATTCATATTTTCTTTTGGAAATCTTAGGATATTTTCAATATAGACAAGCAGTCGACAGACAAATGATGGGCAATACAAAGGCCATTGTGAAAGGAAAATTACTGCTGGAGTCAGAGAGAGTTGAAGCACTGAGCATTTACTGTCAAGATGAGGACTTTTTCCTTACAGGATTTGTCAGAGCTTCAATGAAGAAAAAGGTAGTTTTTTATTTAATAAATGAACAATAACAAATTTAAAATAGAAATCAATGTGTGTTTATAGCGTAAATGTAGAGCCAGTCAAAATTAGTTCTTATGTGGATGAAAATATATGGCTATATTTAACAGGTGTCTTACAATTATCGTATAAGAATTGACAGAAAAACAGGTGAAATTAAAAATTCAGACTGTGAATGCCCTGCTGGGAAGGGCCCCAATGGAACCTGTAAACATGTAGCTGCTGTTATTTTGCTCTTGGTGAAATTTCGGGAAACACATATAATAGCCATTCCTAGGGGATGTACGGAAAATCTTCAGACTTTTCATAAACCAAAAAAGTCTTTTAAAGTTGAGCTAACTGTGTTAAAAAAGTTTCTTCTTTCTTTTTTTTTGTGAATTTGACAATATGGATGTAAAATATTTAAGGTTTTTAGTTTTTTTACACAAGTTTCAGGGATACAAAAAGATTTTCAATATAATGTTTGGATGATGATGATACCATTTAAACATAAACATATATATACAGCTTTAACTCTGAGGCCTGTGTTACATTTTTTTTAAGTTGCATGATCTACAGATGAATTCATAAATTTACAGTTTGTTGAGATGTTTTTGAAGGTTTGAAGGATTATTTCCCATGCATGCAAAATATTTTTGTGTTCAGTATTAAACTTTGTTGATTGATACATGTGATCCACAATTTCCAAGCAATGTAGATAATAGTGACCCTAGGCCTCAGAAATACAGAGGAATAGCTGGATACAATGATTACGTGAGCAACATTGTAACCAACTACTGTGCTGCAACATCTGCAGATTTGGCTTTCAAGTACATAAAGCCCAAGGCATTTATCAACATTGCAGTATTAGACCATGATTACTTGGACCTGCCATTCACCGAATATTGGATAGATGCAGCTCAAAAGGTATATTAATATACCCGGTAAAAAAAATATTTTGCAAAATAGTTGAAGAAATTGTTTTGGTGAATCTTGATGAATTTAAAGATATTCTTTGGTATACTGTATAAAGAATTTTTTAATTTTTGTACAGGTATCAGATAGGGACATTGCTCGCATTGAACACAGAACGAGGAAACAGAGCCTGTCGAAAGTTTGGCACCGTGAAAGAGAATGGCGTTTGACAGCTTCCAGGTTTGGGGATATTTGCAAAGCTACCCATCGACGCAACAGACTGAAGCTGTGTTCTAGCATCTTAAAACCTCTTAAATTAAAAACACTCGCTGTCCTACATGGCCAACAATATGAAGCTGTGGCAAGACAAGTATTCCAAGACAAAACGGTTTTTAAAGTCAAGACTTGTGGCCGTTTTGTAGATTTAGAGAATAATTATTTGACTGCTTCGCCAGATGGTATTATTGGAGAAAGTGCGATTATTGATATCAAATATCCATATAAGGGTAGAGATCGTAAAATTGCTGCAGATAAACTTTTCCCATTCTTGCAAGAGGATGATGATGGTGTATTGCACTTGAAACAGAGTCATAATTATTACATGCAGGTGCAAGGGCAGCTTAATGTGTGTAAAAAAGAGAAGTGTTTCTTTATTGTATACACATTTGTTGATATTTTTGTGGAAGAAATTAATGTTGAGAGAGATTACTGGTGTGGTTGCATGTTACCAAAGCTAGAGTTGTTTTATAAGAAACAATACAGAAAATTTCTTGCTGAAAAATTGTAAACTGGTGTCATTATCAATCTGCAGTTCAAGTTATTGTCAATGAAAACATGTATGATGTACAAAAATTTCATTTATTATTCATATAGATACCAGTAACGATACAATTTTCATATATAGAAAAGCCTTTTTTCAGCTCTAAAGATCAGCAGTTCAGCACAATATTTTAATTGATTATCACAGAATGTATTGTTTAATGCTGTTTTAATGGATAACTTTTTTGTTATTGACATATCGTTTCATATCATAACAAAAAATAATTTTTCAATATTCATCATGGAATTAAGATTCATTTGATTTGTGGGAAATGATTGTGAAGTTATTACATGTAATAATTAGAAAACAGGTACATGTATAAAGGTGTCTAGATATTATGTAGACATATTCATTTGCTGTTTTAAGGCACAAACTGTATCGGAAGTGAAAGTTAGAGAAGTAGTACATGTAACTGGTATGTGAAGATGTTTGCTTTAAAAATGAAATTGTAAGTAATCTGAAAAGAATCATGTTTCATTAGTATAGCTTGTAATAAATGATGTATCCCGCATTATTTGGAATCTTAGTTCGTTATAATGAATATTTTTCAACAATGCAAGGTCTAAAATTCAATTCTGAAAAACAAATGAAAATAATTCTGGAGCCTAAAATAGCTTTTCCTGGAAGCTCTTTCTTGAGGATTTTAAAAGTCTTTGCCAGTCCAATGATCCTCTCCACATGAATACGCTTGGAGGCGATTCTTCGATCTTTGACAACAACTTGTGCCTCAAGCTGGCTTTTTCCTTTTATCATTGTTGGTGTGTTTACTTGAATGTTACGAGAAGCAAACAAATCCTGGACCATAATGCCCCTGTCGGCCATTATACTGTCATGATCTTGAAATTTGTCTTTTTCTAGTAACAAGTCAGACCGTTCAATGATTTGTCTGTCACTTGTGGCACCACAGTAAGCATCTGAAATATAACTAACAGTGCCACGTGGTGTGCAACCAATCATGACCTTCAGTGTATTTTTGTTCTTATAATTGGAAAATGAAGCACTTTGGGCATTTACATTCTGGGGCTTATTTATTGGTACCTCAGTGGCATCAAGTATTACTCTAGTTTTGTTAAAATTCGCAAAGAAGTCATCGGGCATATACTCATCTATTACTGATCTAGAGGGCCAAATGTTAAGCTCTTTAAGTTGATAGTACATAAAGTTGATCCATGTACCAATGATATTTGAAACAGTACTTTCACTAACTTGAAACAAATAACTCAGTTCAATGTCTTCTTTTGCTTGTCTCAATTTCATCATAACTAAAAATAACTGGTCTTGTGGGGAAAGGAAGTTGCTCTTAAGGTTCAAATCATGTGCTGCGGGACCAAGAACTTGAAAAAAACATCATGAAATGGTCATAATTCTCAAAACCTGTGTAATATTTCACCATTTTATCATTACTCTGCAATTTTTCAATAGATAACCTGTTGTTTTTCCCAATGTCACATTGAACTGATAGATCTTGCAGCTTTTTCATTACTTTTAGGCCTATAACATTCTGAATCACAATCTACACTAACTTCTTGCGTTGATTCCACCACCACTTCATTCACAACACATTCACTACTAGGAACATTTTCATTCACCACACATTCACTACTAAAAACATTTTCACTCTGATCTGTATCACACTTGACTCTTTTACTGTATCTTTGCTCTCTTGTGCTAGGTAACTCATTCTTACACGCAAAGGGAAAGACAGAAGGAACAGCTTCTGGTTTCAGTCTCTTTCTTTCCCCTTAAAATAAATGAAACTCGTCTGAAGCTTAATTTTAAATTTACGTTTTCTCTTTATGTAATCATATGGGTATAAAAACAATACTGTCAGATGTTTGTGTAAGTGCTAAATCGAGAACCGCCAGGGTATAAAAACAGTAGTTGTAGGTTAACGTTAGGCTATGACCATCGTCTCATGATCGTACATTTTGGCCGTGGTTTGCGACGGGCTATGACCAGCATGCTGAACATCGCGTTGAGATAACTACCATCGTCTAAGAAAGATACTTTTGAACTAAAAGTTATTTCCAAACTTAAAAACGTAATAATTAGATCAACAATAAGATTACGATAACGGATTAACCAAGTAATGTTGACTGAATGTAATCATCGGATGTGAAGTGATCGCCACACACCCGGTCGTGAGCAGCTGGCTCCCATAACTTTCGTGTTTTCACATCCAATCTTCGAATCGCGACTCGCCATTTTAATTTAAGATCAGGATTCGAAGGGAACAGATGCCCACCTATCTTATTTTTACACATGGGTACACAGCAATACACTGGCATATCAACGATTTATCACAAACGCGGTTTCTAACTTAATAAAGTGAACAATATGGCGACGGATCTATACCTCATAGTACACAAGCGCCATCTGGGGGAGATAACTCTTCTTGGCGGACCTTATCGTATAGTTTCAAAGTACAAAAACTGCATTTATTTTCATTAAATATACTTTTAATTTTCTAATTATTGCAAAAAATACATAGGTCACGATATGGAAGACATAAATAAACAGAAATTTATGTCAACATAAAAAAAATCACACTTTTTGTAAACAGTATTATGAAAAATATGTATAAAAAAAAAAAAAAAAAAAAAAAAAAACTGGTTATAATGCATAATTCTGATGCTGAATGTTCCTAAATACTATCTTCTTAAAAGATACTTTTGAATTGTGAATATCAGGGAAACTATTTTACAATAAAGCAAATGCCTGATTGAAGAGAACTCTGAAGGAGTTATTGCCCTGGTCAACATTTTTTAAAGATTGAAAAATTGATTGAATATAGAAAATGTCCATTTTTTATTTTCTTTAACCTAACAATATTTATCATTTCACCTATCATAAAGCATTTTTCCTAAAGATATTGTTTTATTAGGTATGAATTCAAAATAATAATTACAGTTTTTGCAAAAACCTATGACATCATAGGAGGGTGGAATAACCTTAAAGAAAACAGTGTTTAAATTACACTTTTCTGGGACTGAAGAATAGACCCGAAGCGGAATTAATAATTCTAATCATAAAAAATAAATGTATTCTTAGTCACTTCATACTCTGTTTGTGTGGCACAGTGTACACATTGTAATCTTTATTGTGTGTCATACCAATCCATCCTTATGCTTACTGTTACATGTTACTCTTTGTCCTCAAATACAATTAATCATTTAGTAAAATGCTGATTGACATTTTTCATACTTCTTGTTAGTCCATTATTTAAACACTGAATTGACGAAGGCGGGTGTGACCGGTCGGCAGGTGATTCATACTACTCCATGGCACATGATACCACCTCCGATGTTTGGAGATCCGTGTTTGCTCTGCTCATATTTTGAATTTTGATCCTAAATAATGTTCGTTATCTCCATTTGTTTCATTTTAGTCCGTTGTTTGTTTTCAGGTAAATTCCCCCCCAAAATTGTCATTGACCAGGTGGTATTCTGCTAGATTCTGCATTCAATGTCAGATTAACAATATACATTTATTGACTGAGTTCGAGGGCAACATGCGTTTTGTCGGCCCCAAGAAACAAACTGTCTGCCTGAGGCCGTTAGGCCGAAGGCAGACAGTATGGTTCGAGGGTCCGTTAAAACGCATTTTGTTCGAGAATTCTGTCAATAAATGTTTTGTTACACCTTTAATTTTTATTTTATTATATTTAATTTTTTGACATACATATATTTTGTGCTGTATTATGTGATGTAACATCAGATCTGCCGTTGTTTAACACCAACGAACGAAAATGAGATTAAGCTCCGCCCATTCTGTGACATAAGCAGTTTAACATCTCTCCTAGCTGAGGAAATTGCACAAATTCGATACATATATTCTATACATATAATGTTCTTGATTTTTTCTTTTATTTACTTCGATCAATTTACAATGCATAGTGTATGAATATTTTCCTCTTACTGCAAAACACCATTAATAACTTCTAATTTCATATCATTTTAATAAAAATTGGTATCTATAGTTAGATTAAACTGAACCTCAATTTCTTTAGATAATTAATTTGAGATTAGACTTTTTATTCTTATTTGAGAAGTTCAAAGAACTTAAAGAACATTGAAAGGTGTAAAACGAAAATTATTTCATAAAAAGATTTAATTTTCAATTTTCCTTTTGAGACTTTTTGAATTGAATTACAAATTAAAGTCTTATACTCCTTGTTGAGGATCTGAGTATCTTTAGAAAAAAAATCATTTTCAAGGACTAGCCTTAAGTCTGACCTAATCTTTTGTTCAAAATTCAAATCCCAAAAAGTCTACGTACGGGCGAGTATAATAAATTATGGCTTCATCTTAGCACATGTATTTAAATTTCAGTATTTATTGGTATCTACACAACTGTAGCGTTATGCTTTTAAATTGAAGTTTTTGACCATGACGCTACATATCCTTTTATGAAAATTATGCGCAATTTACGCTACAAGATTTTCTGCGCATGGTTGGGGAGAATTTCTCCACTTTCCAGCATTGGTCAAGGAAATACCTTACACTGCATGCCTGATACTAGACAAATTTTAACCAATCTGATTTAATTCACCTCTTTAACCTTTATAGTCGTCTCTACAGACCAACAAACTCGCTCGTTTTGATCTTAACTACCATCCGAATAAAGATATACACTGTTCTAGCATATCTTGCAAATCTAAGCGTACAACATTCGAAAAGAATATGAGTGTTGGATAGTTTTCTAAAGGGGTTAAATTATTTCCCTTCCAAGTACAAGGTTCAGTTACAATACATATTAAGCTCTGTATTTTTCTAAAATATGAGAGTGATATAAGAAATTAAAATTCATTCTTTCTGATTCATAGGAATTCCATGCAGTAAGAATACGCAAATCGTTTTTCTCATATGACCTCCTACATGCTTGTTGTGACGTCATTAACTTTGTGCATTATACCGTATTTTCTTAAAAAGTTGCAGATGACATCAATTTTCATTGATATATACTTTCAGAAAACATACTTTGCCACCGTCGCCAACAAAGATTTTGATATAAATATGTGATTTTTCAAAGCATTTTACATAATATATCCAAAAATTAAAGTTGGCGACGGTGGCAGAAACTATTTTCTAAAGGAAAATAAGCACAGAAATGAGTCATCCTGAGGCTTTTCTGCATTAAACTTAAATATGCACCAAATTAATGACGTCATATTTCCAGAACGGTCCCCCTTCATGCCATATTCTTTAATGATTTATCATGTTTATCTATTCAATTGGTAAAAGCCAATTTCATAAGTTTTTAAGAACATTAAATTTTTAGGGACCAATAAAGCCCAAACTGTACCTTCTTTGATAACATAAAAAAGACATTTTATGAAGATTTTTTTACAGATACAAAACAAATGTTTGTATTGCGCAACCTGATGAAAATTCTAAAGTTGAAGTTTGCACTAATGTCGAATGAAATTTACACGATAAAATCAGCTTAACATTAAAACAACAAGTTTGTCATTCTGATGCAGTTTACAAGGAGAAATTAACTTGCTTAATAACTTAAAATTGTTTGTAAACATATTGCAACCAAATAATTTCTTTTATTGTGAAATTGAAAATGTTGAATGTATTTCCAGTCGGGATCATTTAATTTACATCGGGTAAAGCTTAAATATAGCGATTTCTTTCAATCGAATCTTATCGGGTCTTGCCGTCAGAGGTCGGATGTATTCACATCACCATAAGTAAAAAATTGACTCATCTTCCTATTTATTCTGTGGTATATTTTAGGTAATATCTTTACATTCAATAAAGTTAAACTCCACAGATAAGAAGTCTTCCAACATTTATTTCGAAGTTTGTGAAAATTAGGGTTGGGGGTTGTAATGACGTCTACTTAATAATAGATTGCTTTTTCTGCTAGTCGGAAAGGCCCGAAATTTAGGAGTACATGTAAATATAAAATATAGAACACGATAGCTATGTCATGTTGTATTTACTCTCAGTTACGTATTATGTTAAAGATTAAGAACATGACATTTTTATAAAATATGATTGTAAACTATTTCTTATCATATTTCTTTTACTCTTTTACACAGATTTAAAAAGTACATAGTATTAAATTATTGTTTTCATAGTCATTAATCTTTTTGCTGATAGTACTTATTCTAAGCATTTTAATTAATTCATTTATTTTGGGAAAAATTCTCTGTGGAAAAGGCATATTGTAAAGTATATGTCCATGTGCATTGCTTATGTTCATTTAAATAGAAAAAAGTGTTTTGCATATATTTTGTTCGCCTGAGCACTGCACCGTGACCTGTCACCATTGATAGGATCGATCCCAATGTTCATTCTTCTGTAGCACTTTAAACATACATATTCTAGATCTTAATGCAGAGTATTGATTCACTGGAATAGTTTTCATCTTAGGATCTTGTTTTGAGAGTACTTGTGTATATTTAAATTCAACCTCATTTCGAAGCAGTAAATTATAATAATTATACTTTACAAAACTATACATTTAAAGCATCATCGAAGCATTTAAACTGTAAAATTTATTTTGAAAGCAAATGATATGCCAAAGAACGGTGAAAATTATAAGAAAATATAATAGAACTGACATGTATTAATTCCAAAGTATCCAGTTTCAACAGAATTCGGAGGGGAACTGATAGATTATCACACCAATAAAGATCTGTCAGAAATGAAAAATACAGGGAAAAAATAATAATTAAAAAAACACATAATCACACAAAAACATTGCATGACAAGATCCTGGATTTGAGGGTTGGGGTGATTTTTTTATCATTAAAGGTTGCAACTGCATCGCGTAATGATACAAAAGTGTGTATCATTAAGCGTCGAATATGTCGATATTTGCTTCTTTCATTAAGCGTCAGTGTTGTTCTGCATTTGTGATGCTTAATGATATAATTCTATAATTAAGCGGCGATTAAGCATAAGCGGTTGAGGATGTCAGCTATTTATGCAATAATTTATGGCATTCGGCGTTGC